CATCAGCTCTCCAACGTACGCGCCCAGCGCGTGTCAACACGCTAGGTCGCCAACGCACACGCGCTGGTACGCTACCGCGTCCCGCGTTCCTCCATAGCCCACTTGGCGCCGGTGCTGCTCCCCGGTAGCGCAGCGCCGGCGCCGTGACTTTGCTAGTGATCAAATTGAGACAAGTCTGATTGCAGAACTGAAGTAATTTCCGCTATCGCTCCTCACAAGGACGCTCACCGCCCACCATGATGATGCCTTCACAGAACAATGCTCCCCCAACTGCCAGTACTCACCACGGCAAACAATCCACACGCAGCGTCAAGCAATCTACTCTACTTACTCAACAACTTTCACAGAGCCAGCATCTATCTGTTGATCAGGCGCCAAAACAGCACTGTAGCAAAGAAAATGACAGAAATATTCTCATCTTTTTTTTTTTCTTGAACATCTCAAAAGTAGTCCTCTATCCCGGGGGTGGTGAGAGACAGTGTCAACCCCATGGACAATGACCAGCATGTTCAATGTGTGCCAAATGGTGGTTCACGGGCTTTTCGGGGCCTTCCGCCTCCTCCCCCCGACCGCGAAAGGTGGCTTGGGAAGGTGCAAGAGGCCCCTATGTAATGAACCCAGTCTGGCAGATACTCAGGAGTCGTCAAACATCAGTAGTCTCGTTATCTGCATCAGAGTCTCCAAATCGTGAAGTGATATCTCAAACAGTATCTCATCACCATTACAAGAAGAGAGTGGAGGGGGAACAGACAGAAGAGAAGATGAAAGATCACCCAATAAATCCCTTCAGACCCCTATCCTTCTCCGGGCTCCTTCCCTCTCCACATCAACAACTAGTGGATGATAACAAATATAGTAAACCTGATCACACACAATAGTGCCACGTGGCACTTTATCTCATGAAGACCATGAAGACATAGCAGATTCCAGTGACGACGCCAACTTCAGGTGAGTACCCCATCTCCTTCATCCACAAAATCTTCCTACTCATTGCAACCAGTCACCTCATGTAAACAGCATGGACAATGCCACGTCAGCAATCGAGACAGTTGGCATATGCCACATCATCAATGAAGACCAGTGGCAGCGCCACATCAGCATGCACTGTAAACCAGAGGCAGCGCCACATCAGTATGCACTGTAGACCAGAGGTAGCACCGCATCAGCATGCAATGTAGACCAGAGGAAGCACCACATCAGCATGCAATGTAGACCAGAGGTTGCGCCACATCAGCATGCCACCTCAGTAAGCCTGGCGCACAATGTAGAAAGCGACAGCATGATGCCTCCATCTCGTGCCGGCGTCCGCATCACCAGTGCACAGCCAGCGTCTAGCCAGCGCCGAGCCAGCATAATGCCAGCGTCTACTCAAAGTCAAGCCAGCGTCAAAGCAGCATAGCAAGACTGAATGCTTGACTCACTCGAGGCCAGCCTTAAGTAACAATTGTCGAGGCTGTCTGGCCTTGGGTGCTTTTCCGACAGTCGTCCAGATTGACTCACAGCTGAGGGCCCGGATTGTACAGTTGCAGACTTCTCCCTTGGACCTGATGCTGTCTGGGTACCTGCACACAAACAAGTGTGTGTGCTTGACCAGCGGCCTGGGCTAGGTACTTTTGGACTTTGACTGTTGGGGTCACGACAGTTGACTGAAGTCAACTGTCACATGTCCAGGCCCTGAGTCCTCGTGTGAGGTCCTTTTTACCCCCGTTTCGGCCTGGGCGGAGGGCGGCCAAGTTGGCCCTCAGTCTTTCCACGAGACATATGGCATGGGTTATTGCACCTACAGCCATGTGATTTTGAAAGCGAAGAAAAAACAAAATTGGACCCCCTCCAACCCCAGTTGAATTTTTTTTATTTTTTTTTTGGGGGGGGGGGGATGGCGGGAGGAGGATGACAGGAAGAAAAAGGTCCATTGATTGATTGATTGATTGATTGATTAACCTACCTACCTACCTACCTACCTACCTACTTTCCTACCTACCTACCTACCTACCTACCTACCTACCTACCTACCTACCTGCATACCTGCATACCTTGCTTGCTATCGTGCTTGCTTGCTTGCTCGCTTGACTGATTGATTGATTGTAAAAAAAAAGAAAGAAACTTAGAAAAAGAAAAAAGATCGATTGATTGATCAATAGGTAGATGGGATAGGCATGCAAGCATGAGGGCGGGCGACAATGGGATGGCATGAGATGGACGAGTGATTAGGCTTTGCACATGAAAAGGCAAACCAAGGACATATGGAACCATCTGCAAGTGAAAGAGAAGAACCACACACAGAAAGCCATAGAGACAACAAATATGTGTGAAGGCACTGAAATTATCGAAGAGAGCAAGAGTCTATGCCAGCCTTCCCGCAACCCATTCACGCGGCCACAGACGCGCATTCACGGGTCAACATGTGACCGGACCACATTCACAGACCCTCGTTCATGAACGGGGGTATGGCACTGGTGAGAGAACGCTTGGGATTGATGCCTCGCTGGGTGGATTGCTCTGATCTATTCGTGCGGAGCTGCACCTGCTGGGAACAGGGTCAAGCGTCCCTTGCTAGACTGCACCTCCTGGAAACCGGGTCCAGCATCCCTTGCGAAACTGCACCTGCTGAAACCTGGTCTAGTGTCCCTTGTAAGTCTGCAGTGCCCTTAGATACCAGATCCTGCATTCCTATCTGCCTGTATCACCCATACCCTCTTTCTGCGCCTGAGCCATCATTGCCCGCTTGGTGTTTGAGTTGTTTCTGCTGTTTTTGCTGTGGGGTTTCCTCCTATCCACAATCCCTTGGCCCTTGATGCTTCTCCCCCTTTTTCCTTTTCTCGCTGACCCTCAGGATTTATGGACCTGTTTTCAACCGACGTGCTCTTTGTTTGATCACTTTGCTGGTCTAGCTACAGATCCCTGGATTGCGGTCCTTTCCCTGGCTTACAGGAAACAGTCATCCTACCCTCTATCTACTACTGTAGTTGCTGATCCCAGCCTGGCCCTTTCTTGGCATACAGGACACAGATTGGGTGGGAGGATACTCTCAAAGTTGAAACCGGGTAAATGGCCCCGGTACCTCAATTGGTTCATCAAAAAAAAAAACAAAAAAAAAAGATTGGGTGGGAGGGCATGGAGCTTCTGGCTGCCATTTGTTTGAGGTCAGGTTATGTTCAGAGGTCTACAGTGTGGGTAGGAGGATGGAGGGCGGGGTGGCCGAGACCGGGACTTAGAAGTATGAAAGTGCTTGATAATTACAGGATCGTTCTTCTTGTATCCAGTTTTTCCAGAGTTTTTTCCAGACTAGTTGATTGTCTGTCAGTTCTGCGATTAAGTTGTTTCGCATTTATTGGTATGTCTTTTTGCTCGTCAATGGACTTAATCTTCTTTTTCAACCCCTCCCATGCTTCTTTGATCCTTGATAAGGTACTCTGAAATGTGGTGTACACAGCAGCTGTAAGTGTGCATCACACGTCTCAACCTAGTGATAAAACCGCTGCAAAAGGCAGATGTCGATAGGCGAGGTTGCTACCGCGCTGGAGAAGATGCCGAGAAGCCGACACCCACTAAGCCGCAGAGCTTCTTCGCAAAACGTCCATCTGCTGCATACAGAGACCCCATCCAGGTTCCGTATCAATGAGGGCATTGTGCCCTGACCGGCTCCATATTTTAACAAAAGATATGTTGCAGGCACCCAGATCCTGCCCCTTCGCCTTGACCCCACATGCCACACGGGCCATTCATCAACAGGCAGACGGGATTCCTGACACATGTCAGCTTATGTATCAGCCGAGACCAGCCATAGCTATGGGATTAGCCCTCCCCTTTGGAGGCAGCGCCACCCATCGCCCCCACACGATCATTACAGCACCGCCGCTCCAGCTATGCCAACAGCAAGTTCTGGCAAGCAGGACCGGTGCGCTACCATCCCTGCGGCGCGATCCCCCATTGCCTGAGCGCCAATCCGATGAGGACTTTTCAGCCATCTCTCTCGAAATCTCTTTCTCTATGTTCTTTTTTCCTTCTTCAAAACTAACGTAGATTCTTCTCTTAGTTCCACCTTACACTACTACTACTTATAGTATTCCTCGGTTCCCCGTAGCAGCCATCCTGAGTCCACAATGCCTCAAACGAGGAACATGCGGAGGCTGCGCCTGACCTGCAGGTGGGCGATAGCAGCCAGGGGACAGCCGGTAGCATCAGGGACCATGCCAAAGGACCAATCCCTGCGCCTGCCCTCCGGTCCCCTCCCCTACAAACATCAGCAGTCTCTGCTCAATGCCGATTGGGGGATCCAGTGGTCTATCTCTAGGTGGCAGGTGCCAAGCATGCCCAGGAAGGTACATGAGGCCAATGGGGATTGAACCCAAGACCTACTGAATGCCACTTGCGAGCCTTACCAACTGAGCTAGGCCGCTTGATTCTTTCTCTATGTTAACTATGTATAGGACATTTCCAGATCTGTTTTTTTCAATAAATCATAATTTATCATTTAAAAAAAACGTTGGCTGAAAAAAGATAGAAAAAGGAACCATTAACCTTTCTTCGTTTGGCTCTCCTCTTTTGAGTAACTAAATCTGAAAGGAACCATTAACTTTTCCCTGATCCTTTGTCTGAATGCCCTTTTTGACATTTGTTTTCAGGTGGTGGGGGTGAGGGCTGGGAGGAGAGAGGGGGGGGGATATGCCCTTTGGTTTTTAACTTGTTTTTTGTGTGCTACTAGTTAACATCTTTCCATAAACAGTAAGTGTCTCTCAACAGCTCAGGATAACAACATCATAAGTGATGGCTCACTGAATACTCCATTACCAAACATCTGATAAAGCGCCGGGACATTCACTTCCCAGTCCCTCATGCATACTAACAAACCATGCTTACACTACCTTTGTTTCTCACATTGTATTATACAGGGACGCTGGACCCGATTTCCAGCAGGTGCTGCTCCCCACCAATAGATGGAGCCTCCCCGACGATGCTAGTGGTGTCTGCTCTTATCAGCACCCCTAGCAGACGATCGGGTTGTTTTGAAAAAAAAAAAAAAAAAAAAACATCTTTTTTCAAGTTTTGAAGTTTTTTCCTTTTTTCTTATAATGCGTCACCTTTTTTGTTTTCCTAACTTAGTTGATATTTGTTGTGCTCCTCCATCCACTGGCAATCAACCTATCGTGCAAAAAAAAAAAAAAAAAAAAAAAAAAACACTGCAACCACACCAGTTCATGGGCAAGTTCTTTGCCGGCCTTGCTCAGTGCGGCGCTTGGGCATGCTTGGACGAGTTCAACCGTATCGACATCGAGGTGTTGTCCGTCATCGCTCAGCAGCTGCTTACCATTCAACATGCCTTGAGGGCTGGCATGCCTCGCTTCTTCTTTGAGGGTCGTGAGATCAAGCTGGTTCCCACCTGTGGTGTGTTCATCACCATGAACCCTGGCTATGCTGGACGTACGGAGCTGCCAGACAACCTTAAGGTCCTTTTCCGTCCAGTCTCCATGATGATCCCCGACTATGCTCTGGTTGCAGAGGTAATGCTCTTCTCCGAGGGCTTCACAAACGCCCGCAGCTTGTCTCGCAAAATGGTGAAACTCTACAAGCTAGCCAGTGAACAGTTGTCACAGCAAGACCACTACGACTTTGGAATGCGAGCAGTGAAGTCAGTCCTGGTGATGGCGGGCGCGTTGAAGAGAGCATCTCCGAATCTGAATGAGGATGTGGTCTTGATTCGTGCCATGAAGGACAGCAATGTGCCCAAGTTCCTGGCCGAGGACGTGCTCCTCTTCCTAGGCATCATAGCCGACCTGTTCCCGGGCATTACACTGCCAGAGCAAGACTACGGTGAGCTGCAGAGTGCGGTGGAGGACAGCATTGACTCAGGCGGTCTGCAACGGGTTCCCGCATTTATCCTTAAGGTTATCCAGTTGTACGAAACGATGAACGTAAGGTTCGGAGTAATGGCCGTAGGACCCACAGGGGGGGGTAAGACCACCTGTTACCGGACCCTTCAGGCCGCTCAGACCCTCCTTCGGCTAAGGGGCCACCCGAGCCCCACCTTCCAGGCCACCTACACCTACGTGCTAAACCCGAAATGCATCAATATTGGCAAACTTTATGGAGAGTACGACTTGTTGACCGGGGAGTGGACGGACGGACTAGCCAGCTCCATCATTCGCCAGTGTGCTTCAGAGACCAGCTTGGCGCGCAAGTGGGTGGTCTTCGATGGCCCCGTGGACGCTATCTGGATAGAGAGCATGAACACGGTTCTGGATGACAACTGCATGCTCTGCTTGCCCAATGGAGAGAGGATAAAGCTTAATTCGGTAACAATGAGGATGCTGTTCGAAGTACAAGATCTAGCGGTGGCATCTCCTGCCACAGTCAGCCGGTGTGGCATGGTGTATGTACCCCCCGAAGATCTGGGATGGAGGCCCTTAGTCAGATCATGGCTCCAACGACTAGGAGGGGGTGGGGGGGGTGTCACCACCCCTCGTTCTCGGGAGGCTAGGGCACAGCAGCAGCAGCAACAACAATCTGGAGGGGAAGCGGACCCGTCCGTCCAGGAATCTACAGGGTCATTAACTGCTCCTGCAGCTGGTGGGGGGGGGTCAGCTGCAGCAGCAGCAGACCCAGCAGCACCAGCAGTTGGGTCTGGGTCTGCTCCAGGCGCAGGATCAGCAGCTGCAGGAGCATCGCCGTCAGATACACCCCTGGCTTTAGGAGCTGCAGGAGGAGTTGTTGGGAGTCCGGGGGAGGCAGGGTCGGGGGCAGATGGACCTTCAGCACAGTTGGACAAGGGGCAAAAGCAGCAGCAGCAGGGAGAGGGGGAGGGGGGGAAGGGGGAGACTGTGGCCAGTAACTTGCCTGTCGTGCCTCCTAATGTGATAGAGTACCTGTGGGTGCTTTTTGACACGTGGATGGACCCTGCGCTCAAGGTAGTTCGCAAGCATCGGCGGGAAGCCATCCCCTCCGTCGATATCAATCTGGTGGAGAGCATGACCCGTCTGTTCCAGGCCCTTTGCAAACCCGTAGGGCCACTCAACCTGGAGGCGGAGGGGGACATCGCCCAAGCCATGCTCCACAAGACCTTTGCCTTCTCTCTCATCTGGACCGTTGGGGCCAATCTGGATCACAAAGGGATGGAACTGTTTGACGAGTTCTTCAGGAGGGAATGTGAACCCCTTGCTATATTACCGGGAATAGGCAGTGTCTATGACTATAGCATAGACTATCGACAGCAGCTGTGGGGTTCCTGGGAAGACTTGATGAGCCCTTTCGTCTATAAATCTGAGACCCCCTTCTTCCAGATGCTGGTGCCCACCATCGACACCACTAGATACTCCTTTCTCCTCTCCATCTACCTCACAGTGCAGAGGCCGGTGCTGTTCGGAGGAGTCACAGGAGTGGGAAAGACTGCCATCATCACCGACCTGATGAATCGCGACCGGGACACCAAGGGATATGTGCCGATCTTCTTGAACTTCAGCGCACAGACAACAAGCAAAGCCAGCCAGGTGAGAGAGAGAGAGAGAGAGAGGAGAGAGAGAGGGGTTAGATGAGAGAGAGAGAGAGGATAGGTGAGAGATTGGATGGGCTAACATTTTGATAAAAAATGACTGTGAAAGTTTCCTGGCTTTTTTTATTATTATTATTTTTTTTAACTTTCATTACTTAACTGGAAAGGAGGTGCCGTCCAGCCCACATAAAGGCCGAGTCTGGGAGTATTACCCAGTGTTATGCTTTTGACGGAACCTGAAGAGGACCTGAGAACTGAAGCTACAAGCCCTATCTTTTTCTGCTTCCTGAATACTTTCTAACCTATCCTTCTACTTCTTAATCTAAAAAAGCTCCTACTTTCTGAATACTTTCTACCTTATCCTTTTTTTAAGTTTTTTTTCATTTCTGTTTTTTTTCCCAATTTCTACCATCCCTTATTTCATCTGCTCCTACTTAAGTATTCTACACCACACTCATTCTTCTTTTTTTTTTTCTTTTTAATATCAAAACAGGTCCTTATTGCAATGACTTGCTGGTTTCTGGTCGTCTGTAGCCTCTCTCTTGTCGAGGCTGTACCATCTGTAGGTTAGATTCACAAGTTTGCTTGTCTGAGGGCTAACCGAGACACCTGCCTGTAAGGAAATCTGTTAGGGACATATCTGCAAGTTTGGGAAAATATAGGCCCAGACTAACTAGAATTCATACAGCTACCCTGACTGCAAATAGCAGGCCCGGGCTACCCCTAGGACAGACAGGCCCTAAGGGCCTAAGCTGATAGACGGTCCTATAGCCTATAGCCAGGTTGGGAGAGGCCCTAGAGGCCGGAATAGAAACGGTACCAGTCGGTCAGTCAGTCCGGTCTAGGTCGAGTCTAGGCTAGAGTAGACTATAGAGAGGTTGGGCACATCGGTTCAGGGCTTTTTGGCAGTTGGTACCGAGTACATCGCTGCTGTGCAACGCGTGAACTGGAAGTGGTGACGGCTCAGCGTTGAGGAAGACATACATAGCCAGACCTCCGGAGCGTCGGTCATAGTTGGGACTTGCGCTGTACTCTGTCCGTATGTGGGGCTGCACAAAGGTGGGCTATTCGAGGTCTGTTGGAGGCGGGAGAAGTTGGTGCCCTATTGGACCCTCCTCCGGAGTAGGGTTACAGGGTGGTGGCGATGCAGCCATAGCTACAGCTTCTTCCTCAGAGGTCATCTTGTGAGGAGGGGTGGCGCTGCTGTGGACTTCCACCCAGGAAGTCTTCCAACACCTCGTCATCATCAGATATTGTGGCGTTGGTCTTCTTCTTCGTCCTCTGAGAGGCGCTTGGCCTCAGGGGCCTGTTTCAGGGTGGCGCTTCCCTCTGGAGGCTGTATTTGGGTGGCACTTGATGTTTCAGGGACTCAGGGGTAGTATTAGCGGCTCATCAGGGTTGGGGAGTGAAGCGCTGCTCACTACTGAGCAGCGCACCATAGTCTTGGAGTGTTCCTGTCCATTTGAGGCTCTGAGCTTAATAAACAGTATTAATACTGGGTTCAGACTATCATCGTTTCATTGTTTCTTGGATGTGATATACTCGGCTTTCATTTATGACTGGTTGTGAGGATTGATTGGAGTGAATTGCACTTTCAGTGTACCCTGTCATATCGCATGGTCAAGTCTTTCGCTGTGTTTATCTCTCCTTATGCGGTGTGATACTCCTATCCTCTCCCCTTCCTTTTGTGTATGTATGGGCATACCTAGGAGTCTATGTGAGTGAGTGTTGGTCTTCAAACAACGGACAACCAGAATCATAACATTATGGTCCTGGCTCCATATCCATTCTGGGAAGCATCAGTCCGGTTCCTGTCCACCGGCAAGTCGATAATTGGAATACATGGTGAACACTCTCATGTGCAACAAATGTGAGTGAGAACGATATACAAGAAATCAAGTTGCAAAATCACGCAGATGTCCAAGTAGTCATGTACCAAGCAGAGAGCACAAATGCGCCAAGATTCCATCCACATAAGAGCGTTACAATTAACTGATGAGCCAATGTTCAAGCCCTCAGGCCACACCAACGCGGTATCCAATGTCGCTCCTACCGTATGGCGCCCAGCGCCTTCCCTACTCTACCTAGCCTATCCTACTACAGCCGCATTCATGCACCAGGTTCACTTCGCCTCTGAAGACCAATGTACATGACGTCAACACCGATGCCGAACTTCCTCATGCACCAGGTACGTGTCTCGTCTCCCCTCATCAACCCTTGACCACCCACACTCGCCTCCTTCCTGAAGACCATTGATCGCCCCTTACCCCCTTGCGCCCTGCAGCCCGGCTATGGCCGCTCGCGCACTGCTGCCCTGCAGCGCCCCTCTCACCTCCCAAGCGCCCGCATGAGCCCCTGGCCGATAATTCAGCAAGCAGCCACCTGCGCAGCAGTGCAGCAGCCCAGCAGCATGACCGCATTCCCAGCATGGGCCAGAATGCCAGACCCTGGCTGCCTTCCTTCCTATATGGAAGTGACAGCCTCTGTTTGGCTGCGTGTGGGCCTGGCTGAGAAGCTTCCAGTAGCTTCCGGAATCACCAGGTCCAATTGTTAAAAATAATGAGTTATTACCATTATTAATAGCATCTAACCATCCAGGCAACCAAAGATTTGCACCTGCATTTAAAGCAGGGCTTTGATTAGAAGAAAGTAAAACATCAAATCCATAAAGTGTTTTTCCATGTGTAGCCTGTATCCATTGTGCAAAGACAGGTTCAATCAAAATTTGTTTGAGTGGTTTTCCTTTCCAGCAACTGTTTTTCATACAGCTTCGCTCCCGAATCATTTTTGTGTTTTTTTGCTTTGCTTTTCCAAACGGGTTTCATAAGACAAAGTTACCTTCAATTGAAGGCCAAATAACTCATGGAGTTTCATATAATGCAACTTTTCACGTAATTGTTTTGTTTCTGTCTGTATGACAATCAATTGTACTTTAACCAGTGAAGTGCGCGCTCTGCAAGCGCCTTGGGCAGTTGAGCCAAATTCAACTACACTTGAATGGATGGTACAAAGTCCTCCAGCTTTTCATACCTTTGAAGAACTTCCAGCCATCAAAGAAACACAGGGCTTGCTAACGGCCTCTGCCCAGAACACGTGCATGTCTGATAAGGGCCCCGCGAGGGCTCATTCATCGCACACGCTTCCTTCCGTCTGGCCGAAGGAACCCTGACCAGCATTGATTGCTCCTATGTAGGAGGATTGACTGTCAGCTTGCCCTACCGCTTTTCCTCTCAGAATCCATTTTGATTCTGCCATATAGTTCGTGTGCAACAAGAAAGAGGAGAGTTGTCTGTATTGTTGAGACTATGGTCTAAGTTCGCCCATCGCTGGGTCGTCGTCCTTGATGGGGTTTTGCTGTGCCATTTTTTCCAGATCAATCTATTATCTGCCACTGTTGCGATCTTTCCCTGTAGGAGCCAGTCGCTCATGAAAGAACGTCTCTTGGGGGCTAGCCTTTCTGGTCTGACTTCCGTTGTTGATGTAACCTCCTTCCATCTGCACCGAATCTCAGTTTCCGTCATGATCAACAGTAGGGCCCACATTTCTTCCCTTGCCACCTCAGTTCTCTCAATAGTCTTGGTACACCTCCTTTTCCAGATCACCCACAGAGCCAGCTTCCTGAGAAGGTGAAACCAGATTTCCTTGCCGCCTTTGAGATTGTTCGTACTGTTCGACAGAAGGAGGATGTTTTGAGGAGATGTGGGGGGAGGGGGTGATGAGAAGAGGAGGGACCATAGGTCGCGAGCTTTGTTCCATATTCAGGCTGCTTCAGTGCAGTACAAGAGGCAGTGGGGTATGTCTTTTGGTCTGTTGTCTGTGCACATAACACATAATTTGGACCTGTCGGGATCTGTATGTTCCTCCTGTTGTGGAGCCATTGGTTGATGGGCAGGGATGCGTGGGCTACGAGCCACTGCATGCTTCGGATCCTAACCGGTCTGATGGGCAGGTACTTCGTCCAGGGGATGGAAACGGTGTCAGTAGGTTCTAGGTTCAGGATATCCCTCCATTTTTCTTTGAGTCCGGGATCCGGGTCTGTAGTTTGTAAGCCTAAGCCATAACCAAATTTTACATTGTATTCAAATATCGTTCTCGTTCTCCCGGATTTCCCCTGTTTCCAGATCCACTCTTTGGGGTTGAATTCAAGGTCTGAGATGCAGAGATCAGGTTGGAAGATTATCCAGGGTTTGGCTTTTGTGACCCTCACTTTCCTCAGTCGGAAGGATTCTAGCATGTCACACTGGGGTTCTTTGTTCATAACTTCCAACTCTTGTAGGTTATGACTAGTGATCGGGTAGGAGAAGAATTTGGAGAGGTAGCTGGGTGCATTGGTTCGAGAAACAAGTCGGTAAGCTCTGCAAGGCTGGGTTTGGGAAATGAGTAAGCTCTGCAAGGCTGCGAGGCTGGGTTTGCAGGCATGCAGGAAGTCCCAATTGACCTGATCGTAGGCCTTTTCAAAATCGAAAAACAGGATTGCTGCCTTCATTCGTTTTTCCGTGATCTTCTTTGCTGCCTCATTTAGTGTCATCACGTTGTCTAGTATGTACCGGCCAGGGATAAAGCGTGAAAAAAAAAAAAAAAAAAAAAAGGATTGGACTAGGGTGAAGGCTACCATGGGACGCTGGACCCAGTTTCCAGCACGATGAATCTGTTCTGAAGGTTTCATGTTTAAGGTTTCAAAGTTGTATTTATGGGACGCCGGACCTGNAAAAAAAAAAAGGATAGTAGAGAGAGGGGAGCATGGTGGGGAGAAAAAATGAGGAAGAAGAAGAAGGGGAAGAAAAGAACAGTGCAGGACGTTGAAAGTGAGAGAAACGGGGCAAAAACAAAAAAGGGATAGGGGAAATTGTATTTGATGATTTCATGCAAGTATGTTATTTCCTTCTTTTGTTTTTTGGTTAATTTGTAAATGTCTGACCATCTACACCAGGTCTGCCACAGGACACCCCTCCCCGGATATGCGAAGTTAGGGCCTCCTCACTCGCACTGGGACTGTCC